AACGGTATGAGTTTTGTCGTTATTGTTGTTTTTTGTTAGTTTTTTATTTGTGTCGGTCATTTGTCATTCAAAAGGGAAGACAGCTGAACAATTTCCAGGCTATTTCACCCATTAGGACAACTTTATATCCTGTTCAGTGGAATGATTCCATGGCTGCATAATTTATAGCCAAAGTTCCGCCATTCTTCACTAATGGTTGTTCACCTATCTAATTGACTGGCTTTCAAACTAGTAGAGCATGTATGAATTTGCAAACTCTCTTTGGTATTTTTAACGAACACTTTTATTTAGGCAGCAGCCTGAATGTCCTGCGCGAATTCGTCGTGCTTATGAATTGTTGGAAGAATATGGCCTTGCAAGACGATGCAAACGAACTGAGGTATGTGGTTCACTCAGCATGCGTCTGCGAAAATGCAACCTCGCATCTCTTACTAGAGTGCGTTTCTTGTCCACCTAGGCCCGTGTGGCGAGTGAGATGGAGTTACTTCGGGTTCACAGTCAGGAGTACATTGATTCATTGAAGTCTACGGCCACAATGCCACAAGATGCTATTAACGAGTATGCTGAGCGGTTTCAATCCGTTTTTATCAATAAGGTGCGTTTATGTGACCAAACAAGGAAGAAATTAAGTTTTCTTTAGCCTGACTGTTTTCCTTTTCTTTCGCATTTAAGCACACGTATGACTCTGCCTCACTTGCTGCCGGCTCCCTTCTCTCTGTCGTTGATGATGTATGCAACGGTGAGGTGCGCGAACGAACTTTCTTTCATAAATGCTCTGGTCTACTGTGGTGTTTAGCATATCGCACAAGGAGTACAGTTAATTTGCTTTCAAGTAGTTTACTCCTACTGCTCGCTTTGGTGCCTGATTTTTTACTCATTTACTATTTTCTCTGTGTAATTCTTATATAGTGCCATTGTGGAATCCTAAGTAGAAAGTGATATTTTTTGCTAACTTCCAATCTTCTTAGGCTTTGCATGGAGTGGCTGTGATCAGGCCTCCTGGTCACCATGCAGAATCCGACCGATGCATGGGCTTCTGTTTCTTCAATAACGTCGCTCTGGCTGTTCGCCACGCACAAGACTTCCACGGATTGAAAAAGTAGTTTCTAGCCGCCCTTAAGTGTATTGTTTTCTTAGGATTGCTGTTATTGACTGGGATATCCACCATGGTAATGGTCTCCAACATATCTTCGAAGGGGACCCCAGGTTGGCGATGTTTCTACAACTTTGGTCAGGTCCACATTTCACCAGTAATGGTTCAGTGTTTCACGATTTTAGCGTTCTCTGCCTTTCGATCCATCGTTTTGATGGCGGACGCTATTTTCCAAATTCCCCTGATGCTGACGCCGAATTTTGCGGAGATGGCGATGGTGTTGGAAAGATAGTCAATATACCATGGAATGGGGTTAGTGGAATTTAATCTTTTTCTCTTTTTTGTTCGATTAGTAAATTGCTTTCTTTTTTAGCGACCCATACGCGACGGTGACTACATAGCTGTATTTCTGCATGTTGTTCTTCCAATTCTCTACGATTTTCGTCCTGAACTCACCATCGTTGCGGCCGGCTTTGATGCTTCCCGAGGAGACCACTTGGTACAAATAATTTTTTTATTTCAGTGATTCATTTTACCCTAAGAATTCATTTTCGGTAGCACAGCCATGTTTCCGGTCAAGGTCTCACCATAGTCCTAGATTATTACCTACCTCAATGTGAATTAAGCTAGTTATTATTGTAACTGGCGTACTTTGATGTGAGTTTGTGACGTTGATGTAAATGGAACCTGCTGATTGAGCGAAAGATGAAATACATTTCATTGTTACAGGGAGGAGTGAGTGTCTCCATGGAATGTTTTGGTCACTTAACTCATCTCCTGGTTGCCGCATCGACTCTGAATAACCCGTTGGAAAGAGGGGGGGAGCGGAGACGTCGAGGTGTCATTTTGGCCTTGGAGGGCGGCTACAACCTCACGGCCACTGCTGAGGCCCTTAGCCATTGCGTCGCTACGCTGCTCTCCGATACCTGTCTCCGGCTGCCCAGCGGCCTTATGCCCACCGATAAGTGGGTTTCATCTCCTCCCTGCCTTCCTATCCCTCCGTTTGTGTTTTCCTTATGTTTATACAATTTTTTTTCACCAATCTTTTTTACTGCCATGGTCTGGTCTTCATCCAGTACACCAAGGCTACTTTGTAAATACACCGTGACAAATCTCGTTTTCTCCCTTCTTTCTGCACGAACTCGTCTTCATGTTTTTTGATGCATTGTTCACTTTACATAATCCGACTTTGTTTTTTCAGAGGTGTAGCGACCATTCGCAAAGTTGTTGAAGTTCAAAAGGACCACTGGCCATCTTTGTTTGATTACAGTAAGATATATGATTTGTATTTTATCATTTTTTGCAATAAAGTGAGATTAAACTCATACTCAGCACCACAACAATGCAATGCATAACACAATGGTAACCACCCTTTTCTTATGGATTAGTTTTTAAAGCTCATGGGTACTTATTATTTTCCAGTGGTCAATTCTAGTATATTTTCTTATTGAACTGCCTGCATGCATCTCTATATGAAATCCAGGTTCGCATTCAGAACTTACTCCCACTTGACTAAAATGGTAAGGGAAAGAGTGCATGGTCTTCGCTATTCTAAA